AATTATAGAGATGGATGTTGGTGACTGTTGCATAGCATTATGAGAGTATTTAATACCACTGAACTGTACACTTAAGATGCTTAAGGTGGTAAGTTTTATATATTTTACCCATAATAAAAAAATTTTTTAAAAAGATACCAGAGAGCTTGCTTGCTCATTCTGTACACATGCACAAAACAGAGATCATGTGAAGACACAGTGAGAAGCTGCCCAACTGTAATCCAGGAACGGGGCAGGACCCACACCTGCCAGCTTCTGGATCTTAGACTTTCTGTTCTCTAGAACTGTGACAGATAAATGTGTTGCTTAAGCTACCTAGACTGTGGTATTTTATTATAGAAGTCAAAGCAGACTTATACACATTCTAATCTCTCTGTTGATTCTTTAGCTATATGTTTGATTATTTTCTTAGTTATTGCTTTTGAGATTACAATAGCATCTTGAATTTATCGCAATATGCTTGAGGTTAATACTGACTTAATTCCAGTGAAACATAACAACATTGCTCCAGTATAGCTCCATTTTCTCCCATCTCCTTTGCAATTTTTATTTATATACATATATATAATCGATACGTTATAAACTCAACAATACAGTGTTGTAATTATGTAATTAAAACAAACATATTTCTTAAAACTCCTGAAAGAAAAAAAATTGCACACACTTTACATTTACAACATATTTATCACTTCCAATTGTCTTCATTTCCTTCCTGTGGATTCATGTTACTATGTGGTGTTATTTCCTTTCAAATTGAAGTGTTTTTTTTAAAGTATTTTTTAAGAAAAGTTGGCTAGCAATGAATTTTCACAGTTTTTGTTCATCTTTGAATGTCTTTAGTTTGTCTTTGTTTTGAAGGATAATTTCACTGAATATAGAATTTCTTGGTTGACTGTTTCAACACTTTGCATTTGTCTTTCCTCTGCCTTTTGGCCTTCATTATTTTGCAATAAGAAATCAGACACTAATTATATTGTTCTCCTATATGTGATGAGTTGCTTTTCTCTTGCAACTTTAAATATTTTACTTTTTCTCTTTCATTTTCTATAACTTTGCAGTAATTTTGAAATTATGAAGTATGGGTTTCCAACTTTGTTCTTTTTAAAGATTGTTTTAGCTATTCTGAGTTCCTTGTATTTCCATATGAATTTCAGGATTAACTTATCCATTTCTGCTAAAAAGGGAGTTGGAATTTTGATGGGATTTCATTGACTATTTACATCAATTTGGGGAGTATTATCATTTTAACAATATTAAGTGTTCTAATACACGAACATTGGATCTCTTTCCCTTTATTTAGGTCTTTAATTTCTTTCAACACTGTTTTGTAGTTTTCAGTAAAGAAGTCTTTCGCTTCTTTGGTAAAATTTATTATCAAGTATTTTATTATTTTTGATGCTATTATAAATGGAGTTTTTCTCTAAATTTTATTTTCAAATTTTCATTACTGGTGCATAGGTCTGCAACTAATTTTTGTAGATGGATCTCATATCCTGCAATCTTGCTGAACTCATTAATTAGCTCTGAAGATTCTTTTTAGATTCTCTAGGGGTTTTTATAAATAAGATCATATCATTTGCAAGTAGAGATTGTTTTACTTTTTCCTTTCCAACCTATGTATTTTTCTTGCCTAACTGCCATGGCTAAAACCTTCAGTACAATATTGAATACTAGGAACAAGAACAGACGTCCTTGTCTTTGTTCCTGATCTTAGGAGGAAACGGTCAGTCTTTCACCATGAAGTAGGATGTTCACTGTGAGGTTCTTGGAGATGTCCATTACGAAGGCTGAGGAAGTTCCCTTCTGGTTCTTTTTTATCATGAAGAAATGTTAGCTTCTTCAAGTGCTTTTTCTTTATCTATTGAGATGATCATTTGACTTTGTTCTTTGTTTTTGTATGTAGAAGTAACCTTACATTCCTAAGATAAATCCCAGTGGGTCATGATGTACAATTCTTTTTATATGCTGCTGGATTTGGTTTGCTAGTATTTTGTTGAGGGTTTTTGTATCTATATTCATAAGGGATGTTGGTCTGTAACTTTTTTTCCTTCTAATGTTTCTGTCTGGTTTTAGTATCAGGACTTCATGCTGGCCTCATAGAATAAGTTAGGAAATGTTCCCCACTTGGTCTTTTAAACATTTCTATTTTTCTGTTGAAAATCCCTATGTGTTGAGTCATTGTCATCATATTTTTCTTTAATTCTTTGAACTTATTTATAATAGTTGCTTTGAATGTATTTATGAAATGTAATATATGGGCCCACTCAGAGTTAGTTTCTGTTGACTGCCTTTTTACTTGAATGGGGTTACATTTTTCTATTTCTTTGCTTACCTCATAATTTTTGGTGAAATCCAGATCATCTCGATAGTATATTATAAGTCTGGGTTCTTGTATTTTTATCTGAGGTTTGTTTGTTTGTCTGATTGATCTTCATTTGTTTTGCTGTTTTGCCTGGGCCTAAACTGCAGAATCTGTGTCCACTGCATTGTGCAGCCTCTGATGTGTCTGCTCAAGTTTTTTACTTGTATTTTTTAGCCTGGCTTCCTAGGGGTTTCCACTTATCTTTATAGTTTAGTAGTCTGCCTGTGATTTGTCTATTGCTGTACTTCAACACCTTGCATCTCTAAAGCTCCCCCCTACCACCAGCTGATTATCTGTATGTGTTGGGTGCCAACCTCCAGCCAGTATCAAGTCCCTCATGATGTTGCATCTGTAGGCACTCTGGGTCTCCCTTGCACATGAGTGTGCTATTTCTGTCAGCCAAGGTTACAGCAGCCTTTCTCTGGCTCTCTTGTTTTCAGGGTTTCCCATTATTTTTTTCTGGCTGGTCCCTGCTCTCCTCAGCCAGGGCTGTCTGTGGGCCTCCCCGTGCCCTGCAAATTGATCACTCATAGCCAATGAAAGTATCTTCCTCCTACCTTGAGCCCACTTCCTCTGGAAGCAAAGCTTCCAGCCACCTAGCCCGGTACAGCTGTGCTCTCACCCAGCAGGGTTGGGGGTAGATGGGGCAGCCCAGGCAGGAAGTAAGAGGCCCTACTCATCCTACTATCTAGATAAGCTCAAGTGGATTTTCAAGAGGAAATGTTTTCCAACTTGTCTGCCTTTAGTTGATTTCCAGAGCCCTAAAATGGTTGGTTTTATCCTTTTATCTAGTTTCATACTTGGTTTATAGAGATAATTCACTGACTTCTAGACCATGGTAGCCAGCAGTCCCTCCTCAACAAGTACTCACTGAGTTGGTGACCTGCAGGTGTGTGATATCTCCTGCCAGGGTGGCATGCAGGCCACTGGATGGTATTTTGTCCGCTTTCTGTGTGTGTTAAGTGGTTCATACTGTGATTCATTTGGCAGTGTGGTTGGGTTACCGCACCTCTCAGCTGTAACGGGAGTGACTGTTATTGCAGCATGTTGCTCCATCCAGAACACACCAGAGCCTGTCTATTGGCGTCATAAGGAGATGAATTGTTCCATATTGCTAATTAGAAGTTTGGAATCTTTGCATGTCACAATGTTTTTAATGACAACTTTCAAGTGGAAATCTTTCTCAAATACCCTAAATAACTTTACCTTCCTGAATGGAAATGACTGTACCTCACTTGAAGGTGTCTTGGTGATGGTGGCTGATCACCTGCTTTTTATTGGGCTGAAATATAGTGGGTCCCTCAGCACCCTGAGGGGTTTCACACGTAAGTGCCCCCGTGCAGCTGGGCCCTGAGTTCTTAGGTAGCTCCCAGGGACTTTCATCTCCTCAAGCGTGACTTTTTAGAGGCATCTTTTCTCCAGGCTGAGGTCTGTGGTGTGACTTGATAGTCGGAACACGTGAGCCTGCTGTGGTGGGATGCATGGTGGCTGGAGTGGCATGGGTCTTTAGGGTTCAAGAGCCCATGGGTCTCATGTTTTGAGCATGTAATGGGAGACACCTGCCATCGTTGCTGCTTGAGGTTCTGTGCATTAAAATGTACCTGGCTTGTTTTAATCAGGTGTGGTGAGGCCAGCCGATAAGGAGGCAATACCATGAAGGAAGATCCTCTAGAAACGGGGCATGTGCAGCACACAGGGCCATAGGGAGTAGGGGAGGCCTGGCAGAGCCTGCTGTGGTTTTCACAGGGAGGAACGGGCAGGCCAGGCAGGCTGGGCTTAGGTTGGTTGGTCTGCTTCATGTAGCAGATGACAGGGACAGGAACTGCCCTGGTTATCTGATGTCCTGGGGTGATCAGGGCAGAGGAATGTTGGCTCCTGGAGCAGAATACCCAGGTATAGGAAGTGGTTCAGAGCGTGGCTCTGTACTGGTTGGATCCATATCATCCGTGTGCTGTTCCTAGGAGTTAGCCAGCCCTGAAGGGGTGATCTCTCCAGGTCAGCAAGACCCAAGTATGTCAACCATCCTGATATACAGAAAATAAAAAACCAGGGGAAGCCTGCTAAGGCAGTCATGCCTTCTTGTTCTTGGGATCTTCTGAAGGTCACCTAGAGACTCGAGTGCAATGATGCCAAGCACAGTGTCCTCCCACAGTCCACATGGCCCAGGGTAGAGTCAAGGCCCCTGCCAGGGGTGCAGAGCCTACTTTGTGCTTGGGGCCTCCCACAGGCCAGTGTCCACCCCATCCCAATCCAACATTCCATGATACACAGGCACTTGCCAGTCCTCAGGGCCACAGTGCTCAGGGAAGCTTAGCATGTGGGCTTTCCCATCAGGTAGGTTTCCCAGTTGGGGTCAATCAAACCATTAAGCAGCATTGCCTCAGAACAGAGTTGTCAGATCTTCCTTTTACTCTCACCAGGGAAGTGAGAAGAGTTAAAAACAGGTCAGATTCCATGCAGGGAGAACTGAAGGAACTTCTGAAGGGCTTGTGCCCTTCCAATGGTTCTCAGAGGAACAAGAGCCAGAGGGTGGAGGAAGAGGTCAATTTTCTAGATACCTGCAAAGCACCTCTGTATGCTAGGCATACACTGTGTGACGGTGGCTGCCTGCATGACCAGGTAGACCCCTCTCTTGCAGAACCCATGGGCCGGTGGAGATGAAAGCCATGGCCCAAGAGCACCTGTGTAAGCTGACACTCAGCCAGGACTGATTGGTTCCAGTTTCCAGGTATTGATATCAAACTGCTGATTTAGTCAGATTCTCTAAGTTGCAAAAGTGTATAAAGGAAGAACTCGGGGGTCAAGGGTCAGTGTGGATTCTCAGAGTTGTGTAGCCACTGAAGAACGCGATCTGCACATTGACCTGGTTCAGCTGCTGCTGATCTCAGGACAAGACAAATGACAGCTACAGAGAAGTACCACCAACTTGCGTGGGTTCTTCCTCCAGCTCATGGTATATGTTGACATGGACAGCATTGCTTTGTTCCCATCCCTGCAGGCAGCGTCTCCCACCGGGGCCCTCAGCATCTCAACCCGATGTCCAGTCAGACCAGCACCGCAAAGGCTCTGAGGTAATGTCCTGCATGTGACTTCCTAACTGTGTTTAAATGGTGAGATACGGACAATGTAAGACTTCCTCGAAATTTAACTCACTAGAAATAACTGCTGCTAAAATTGTAGTCTGTTGCTTTTTAATCCTATTTTTACATATTTCGAGTGAGATTCTGTTGGGTGTACTATTTTATACTTTGATTTTTTTGAAGGTAAGATATAACTTGGGCATTTGCCCCATTGCTAAAACCTCCAAAAGAGCCATGTGATGGCTGCATGATATTTTATTACAAGAATAGACCAGGGGTTGGCAGGTATTTTCTGTAAAAGGCAGGTCATAGGTATTCTTGGCCTTTGGGGCAACACACAGCTCTGCCCCTGTGCTGGGAAGCCAGCAGGCAGTGTGTAGACGAGTGGGCATGGCATGTTCCAATAAAACTTTCCTTACAAAGACAGCTGGCAGGCTGGACTGGCCCACGGATTGCAGCCTTCCAGCCCCTGCAGGGACAGTCATTCACTGCTCTTTTCAAACCTTGGCTTAGCCTCCCACTTCCTCTGCTGCTAATTTAGGCACACACTGATATCTCTGCACACAGAGGTCAAAACCCTCCCTGTCAGCCCCCCAGAGCTCTGGAGCAGTTTCTGGCACCTGTGGTCAAGTCTACCCCTGGCTGCCCACCGATCCTCACCACTCTCCAGCTCACCTCTCGCTCCCCTGTCAGTCCTGAGGAGCTGGCCTCCGTGGTGTTCACTGACCCCGCAGCATCTGTTCATTTCATCCACTCACTGCCTTCAGGTTCCCCTGGGGTCTCTCTGCACTCCGCATACTACAGACAGATGATGGGCAGACAGTACATGCAGGGTGGATCTTAGCAAGAGTGGGCAAGTGGGCCCTGGTCAAAGTCAGCCTAGGGGACTGTGAGGCCAGGTCCAGTAGCAGAAGGAAATAGGAGGTCAGCAGGGCCCCTGGGCTCCTCTGTAGTGTGTGCTCAGCTTCTTGTTCATATTGACTGGGAAAGGCATCGATTGTAACTCAACCACTGTCAGCACCGCACAGAGGAGGGGTCCGGTGGGAAGGCTGCTGATGACCATAACGGCAGCCATCCTCAAGGGACCTGCTCACGGTACCTCAGCCCAAAGGAGATTCCCCAAAAGGGTGACTGGCAAGTGTTGCACTTGCTGCTCATGTGACCGTCAACTCTGGATGTGGCACAGGTCATGCTCGGAGGTGGCCTTAAAACTACCCAGTGGTCAGTGCTGGAATGATCATGTCACCAAAGGCGTTTGAAGCATTCATGACTTTGTGTTTGTTGAATTTATTAGGATTCCACCTTTGCAAATCTCCTACAAGGGACCATCACAAACTCCAGCATCCCAGGTACCAGGCAGAGCAGGAAGAGGTGCCTCTTCCAGCCTCGGGAGCTCCCCAGCTGGCTTTCCCCAAGCGCTGCCCCCCAGGCAGCCAATCAGCATCTCCGGCCTGCTGCAGAGGCAGCGTTTAGGCAAGTGCTTGGCCAACTTGGAAAAGTAAAGTCTTCTCTGGAAGAGTGCATGTGTAAGAGAAAATGTTTCAATAAATATGTATTACAAAGGGAGATGGAAAGCTTTAAATGTTCTTGACAATTGTGTTTCTGAGCTTTTCATTAGTAGTTCTGAAATTCAATGTTGTTCACTTTTCTATTTATTGAGGATTTTCAAGTTATGACTTAAATGTTTTAATAATACTCTATGCGAGGACTAAGATGGCATCTGAATTTTTAAAAATACATGTTTAAACTAATGAACTATTTTCCCCCAACTTATGTTTCTTATTTGACATTTGCATTCTCATTTTCTTCAACAGTGTAAACTTTTGAAATCGCTTTAAAGACAAAGCTAACGTCTTTTTACTATGACCCTCGATGCTTCCTACAGGACCTACTCATCCCGGGGGATTTACGCATGAAAGATGAGCACATTCCTGCCATCCCTATCTGCTGGTCTTCAGTTCTTCAGCCAGCCCACCCGCATGTATACCATAGACATCAAATGCCATTGTGCTTCCTTTCTTGATGGAATAATTAAGTAATGCACCGAATAAAGTATTTTTCTGATTACCTGGGGTAGCATATATATGATACGTTTGAAACTTTGCTTTTAACACCTTAGGACTTCCTTTAAACTCTTTGCACTGGAGACATTTCATGGATCACCTACCAGCAACTTGACCACACTTTTTTACAACATAGTGAAAAACGAATCACTTCATTTAAAATAGTATAGTGTTGGAACCAATTATTTTATTGCACTGATATTTGGCTTATAATAGAATTTTGGACACTGAGGAACTTACTTATGGCAAATCAAAATTTTATATCTTATATTTTTCTAACGTGGTAATGCGTGAAATAATCACTGACATGCATTGCAGGTTCATTGATACATGTGGTGCAATAGTACTTTGAAACCTTCCACCTGGTGTTTTTCTTTTATTTTTAAATTTTTTTTTTATTTATTGAACAGATGAGGTCTTACCAAGTTTCCCGGGCTAGTCTCAAACCCATGGGCTCAGGCAATCCACTCGCCTCGGCCTCCCAAAGTGCTGGGATTACAGGCTGAGCCACCGAGCCCACCTGGTATCTTTCTATTTGAGCAGACAATGCAGTCTTGTTTTCTTCCTACCACATTAAAAATATGTAATTTAGCAGGGGGTGGGGACCTGCAGCCTGGGCAGCTAGAGAGATGATGGGGCCGAACAATAGACCGGCAATGGAGCCCTGAGTTTCCAGCGAGGTCTCCCAGTGGTAAAACCAAAGCCATTGCTTTTGAAGTTGTTAAAGTCTGTTGGCGCACAAAAAGACACACGATGAAAGAGGTTCTATTTTATCTTGGCCAGTACATCATGACTGAATGCCTGTATGATGAAAAGCAGCAGCATATTGTGTATTGTTCAAATGACCTTCTGGGAGAGCTGTTTGGCATGCCCAGCCTCTCTGTTAAAAAGCACAGGAAAATATATACAATGATCTACTTAAACTTGGTGGTAGTTAACCAGCAGGAACCTTCAATCTCTGGAACACCCATCTGTGAGTGAGGACAGGTGTCACCCTGAAGATAGGAGTGATCAAAAGGACCTTGTGCCAAAGCTACAAGAAGAAAAGACTTCGTCTTCACACGTAGCTTCCAGACTATCTACCTCATCTAGAAAGAGAGCTGTCAGTGAACAAAGAGAACGCCAACGAGCTGCCAGGTGAGCGAGAGAGGAAACAGCACAAGTCGGACACTATCGCCTCTCGCTGTCGTCTGACGAAAGTCTGGCCCTGTGTATGGTTTGGGAGATCTGCAGCGAGAGAGCCAGCAGCAGAGACGACCAGCCCTGATCTTGATGCCAGGGTGCCGTCCAGCCCTGATCTTGATGCCAGTGTAAGTGAACATTCAGGTGATTGGTTGGACCAGGATTCAGTTTCAGATCCATTTAGAGTAGAATCTGAAGTTGAGTCTCTTGATTCAGAAGATTACAGCCTCAGTGAAGAAGGACAGGAACTCTCCACTGAAGATGATGAGATGTATCGGGTTACTGTGTCCCAGGCAGGGGAGGACAAAATGGACTCATTTGAAGAAGATCTGAAAATTTCCTTAGCTGACTACTGGAAGTGCCTCGCGTGCAGGGAAGTGAACCCTCCCGCGCCACCGCATTGCAACAGATACTGGGCCCTGCATGATATAGCTGGCTTCCCAAGGACAAAGGGAAGGACAGAGGGGACTCCCCTGAGAAGGCCACCCTGGAGCACCCTGCACAGACTGAGAAGGGCTTCGACGATCCGGACTGTAAAATGACTGCAGTGAGCAATTTCAAGGAGTCAAGTCCCGAGGAAAACTACAAGAAAGCCACACCAGCCTCCCAGTCACAGGAGAGTGAGAACTACTCCCAGCCATCCACTTAATCTAGTAACATCGTTTGTAGCAGCCAGGAAGACTTCTGAGAGCACGAAAGGGAAGACACACAAGATAGAGAAGATGGCATGGAGGCTAGCTTTCTCTTCAACACCATCGAGTCCTGTGTGATCCGCCAAGGTCGACAAGAATGGGTGCGTTGTACACAGCAAAACCAGATACCTCAGGGCCCGCCTCCCATGCACCAGGAAGCTAAAAAAGAGACACAAGCCCTGCCTGGTGTGTGGGCAGCCCATACAGATGATCGTGCTGACCGACTTCCCCTAGCCGGCCCCATGGCAGCTTTGCTCCTGACTGTAGGACCTGGGCTCCTAGGCAGCATGATGTCTATTTTTATTTATTTATAGCCAAATGAGACATGTCTCATTCTGGATAGATTTCCTTTCTTTAGTGCAATTTACCTACCTTGGGAAAGGAATCGTGAATAAATTTACTCCCATTTAGGAAAAAATGATAATATGTAATTTATTGTCCAGTCTGTTGTTCGAAGACCCATGTGGAAGGACACACTTGTGATTCCTGAAAACCACTTCTCAACTGATCAATCATAAGTTTGACAGACGTGAGACATAGGTTTTTCATTGTTTTTGGATGAAAAACTTCAGGGAAACATACATTTTTGAAAAGTTTGCATTTGCATAAGTTTCACCAGTAGTCTTCTATGTTCCCTAACAGCTGAGTGGTTTGCTAGATTTATGATTTCAAGGTTAAGTGTTACTGTTGGAGGCAAAATGAATTCCCACTAGTCGGTTCACTGTTAGAAGGTATTCCAACTGCAGCTCTTTGGGGAGACAGATAGGGTCTGATGCACACCTGAGCCATGACATGAGGTATGCACACCAACCACACAGGCAAAACCAGGCAGTTCAGGCCAGCTCTGCTGCATCTGGTGTTACCTGTGGTTTACTGCACATTCTGTGAGTGTGATACTCAATGCTGGTGTGTGACACTGTGCTGCCTCCAGAGATGAATTCGGACCCAAGCTCACCTTGCAGGTGGGGCCTCTGTGCGTGAACCCTCTTCCTCTGTGGGGCAGGAGAAGCCTCCCTGCCGGAGACACTCCTGCACTCTGGCTCACAGATGGGCTCAGACCCCACATTGCTCCCGTGACAAAGGGACCTCACCAGGCTGGAAAAGAGGCTTATAGGGTTAATTCTAATCCTTTATTTTTCATTTACCTAATAATTGTCAACTTTGGTATCTCACTTGAGTAGGTCTTACAGCAGCCAACTAGAATGTGGTGCAAGAAGAATCACACCACCCTTTTCTGTAGACTGTGCTGAGACTCAGGCAGGCCGTATACTGAATGAAGACTTCCCAGTAAGGATATGCACCGCCTGAAGCCCCACTGTCCCTGGCCCTTGAGATGCGGGGATACCTCAGATGCCATGAGGAAGGACCACCCTCATGTGTGTCTGTGGGTCCTTCTGACCCACACATAACTATTCCCCTGAGAGTTTACTTTGTCCCCAAAATATGGGCTAAAGCCAAATGTTCAGAAATCACATAGTAATATACATGTTCTAAATTGGTTCCATTCCCAAGAATTTCTGAATGCTATAAAATCCCTAATAATGGTATAGATCTTTCCCTATGCTTAATATGTAATAATACATGATCATTTCAAACATTGAGATGCAGGCTAAGGAGTTCCAGACTAACTTGGACAACATAATAAGAACCCATATCTACAAAAATATTTTAAAATTAACTGGGCTTGGTGGCATCTGTAGTCCCAGCAACACAGGAGGCTGAGGTGGGAGGATTCCTTGAGCACAGGAGTTTGAGGCTGCAGTGAACTATGATAGCACCACTGCACTTCTGCCTGGGCAATGGAGTAAGACCTCATCTCTAAAGTAGATAATAGTCATTAAAGCTATAGTCTGTGAAATATAATGGTGAAAATAACTTCCAGTCCCATCTTCCCCAGCTCCAGTTCCTGTTGTGGACCTTACCAGACTCGTTTCACCGCATCAGTGTGGGTTTTGGGAGTGATTCTGGGGGTGTTGGGGGTGATTCTGCAAAGGGGCACAGCTGGGGGTGATTCTGCAAAGGGGCACAGCAGAGGACCATACCCATGACTGCAGTGTTCCTGAAAGACTTCTCTGAAAACTCTGCCGAAGAGATTTCCCCTCAGGAGTAGCCTGGGGTCCACATCACCTTCCTGGGCCTCTCCATTCTCTGCAAGCAGAGGCTGGGCCTCTTATCCAGGTTGACTGTTGACCCACAGTTTAAAAAGCTTGCTGTTATTTCCACCATTTCACTTTGCTTTGTAGACATAAATTTTGATGCCATATTTTTAACATTTCATGTTGTTTGTTTTGTTTGCTTATCACAACTGAACTCGCATCGGGCCAGTTTATGTCCTGTGGGCATCTGGGCAAGTGGAGACATTTGCCACAGTCAGTCCCTTCATCTTGAGTCATCAGTAGCATTTGCATGTGTATTTTTGTTTTCCAGTAGTTGTAATTTAAAAAGGCAAAATATATTAATATCCAGAAAATCGCACAAGCATAGAGGTGACAGACAGCACTGCCAAGTTTGAAACCCTGTCTGTCGTCACTCTACACGTGAAAGTCTAGAAACAGTGTGTGGCTGATTAGTATCTCGTGAAGCATGAGCTGTGTGAAGACAGGATGTGTAAACGTTCAGGGCCTGGCGTGGGGTTGGCACAAGGCAGTGGAGGCGGCAGGGAGGCAGGACCACAGAGGGTAGCATCCCCTGCTCTCCCAGATATCCTGGGTTGGGGCATGGGCCTTTTCTAAGGCTTCCTGGATCCTGAGTGTGAGTGCCATGTGTGGAGTCCCCAAGCTCAGCCCTGCTACCTTGCAGCCCTTCCTGGTGGTGTCTTGCAGTCTAGCTGGAGGTGGGGGTGTGCTGCCTTAGTGTGGTCACGTGACGGCCACCAGGTGCCCACCACTTGGATTTTTTTGTTTTCTTGCAGCCACAGAGCTCAGATGTCACTGTGGGCCTCACTAAGACGACCTAGGGAGTCAGCCGCCCACAAGAATGTGACTTTCAAGTTATGCACATATGTGATGGGGGGAATTCAGAAGTGCTGGGGGAATGCACGCATTTCTTGTCTTTTTTTTTTTTTTTTTTTACTAAGCTTGAATTTTGAGGGAAAGAAACATTTGAGACCAAAACTGATGTTTATGAACCAGAGACATCACTAATGCCATTTGGAAGAAACACTCTTAAAGGGACCTGGCCAGGAGGAGTGAAATCGTTCATTTGATTGATTAACAGAGTCAGAGTCCATGAGTTCAAGGAACATTCTTCAGGAAAATAATATAATTCTTATTCAAATTGATCGAATTTTGTTTCCTTCAAGATGTTTGCTATTAATAATGCTGTTGTATCACATTAAATGGGAAAATGGTCATTTTGAGTACAGTGTGGGAATGTTTAATTTCGTAGCTAGTTTACAGGTAACATACTTTCGGGTAGTCAGAGGAAGGTCTCAAGGCCAAGTTCACATCCATTCCCCCTAGAGCCGGCCCTGTACGGCCTCTGCTCGCAGTTCCCCCCTGGCACACTAGAGGGTGCTAGACCGAGTGAGGCTCCGTGGTGTCCCTAAGTCCAAAGTGGATTAATTTTACAGAAAACAAGCTGTCCATTCAGCCCTGCCCAGGTTGAATCTTTAAAAGCGTTAGGCAGTTGAAAATTACAAAGGTAAAATGGGGTGATGAGGTAAGATTGAGAAGTTCCATTTACACCGAGTGAAGGCCACGCAGAGCAGCAGGCATGGCCAGTGCTATCCACCACCATCCGCCCGCCACCTTCTCTCCATGGTCAGGGAGCAGTGGGGGAGGGTTCCCTGAAAGTGCACCTGATGGGTTATTCTCTGTGGAGTAGCAGAACAATGACCCAAAGGTAAAGGTGTAGACAGAACATTCAAGCAAGGTTTGCAGATGCAGGTGGCAATCTCCCTCAGAAACTGTTCTGTGGAGTAATCCACACTGAGCCTCGGGCAGCCTTTAGACTGTATTCTTGTTCTTATGAACAGACCTCCCACATGGCCCTAAGAATCCTGTGCAAAGTGTGGATTAAAACAGCAACAACTGCAGACTCCCCAGGGGGTGAGTGCCGTGTTCTGTGTTTTCAACACAGTGTTTCTATGTGCCTGTGAGTGTTCTTTGTAACCTACACCCAGGCCATGTATGTGTACTGCACCCAGTAGGTACAGAATCAGTATCTGACTGCTCATCTACCATTGTGATGCTTCCGCCTGGCTCAACCACCACAGGTGCTTGGAGGTGGAGTAGCCGCAGCGTTCCCAGTTCTCCTCTGGGTGCCGGGGTTGGGTCTCTGCCTCCAGGCAGCTCCTTTCATCGAGAGTGTCTTCCAGACTTGTTTCTCATCTTTCAGAATTCCTGCTTGATTGGGGGCAGACATTTGTTTGGGTTTTATAAAAGTGCTCCCACTTGATGTACTGCAGACACCCCTGTGCTGGGTGTGAGCTCTTATCACAGGAGACCACCCTGCACAGCCATTCCAGAGGGCACAGGGCTTCATTTTTCCCTGTCACCGACAGTGCTGCAGGGAGCACTATCATGTATCCTGTCCTCAATGCTGAGCCAAGTCCTCCTGGGCTGAGTCCTCCCCAGGCACTGCCTCACCCCTCCCTTCTCACCTGCCAGCTGAGCCACCCAGGACTCGTGGACAAGCACCCTTGCACCTAGCTCAGCACCCAGCACCTTTACTGCACACCCTGACAGGGCACCGAAGGCTAGGGGGACTGAGGCTCTACAGATCACAAGCAGGAGCAGCTTAAAGATATGGTCCCAGGACCACCAGGAGGTGAGGAGGGACTGCCGTGAGGGTCTGCAGCCTGTGAATGCCAGAAGAGAGCAGGGGTCGGCCTTGATGCTGGCGGGAGGGAGGGCAGGACCGGCAGACAGGCAGGGGGCACGGCCTAGAGGGTGAAAAGGACCTAGAGGGGCAAAGATGACGGGTGCCAACCATGCCATTCAAGGTTCTGGAGCCCTGACACAAGACAGGGTGGCGAGGGGCCTTGGAGCCACCACAGAGAGAGGCGTCAGGACAGAGGATTTGAGCATGGCCTGCCATGGGCGCCACTGCACACACCCGCCGGGCAGCCGGCCAGGCTCAGCCTCTCTTGGCATCCACCCCGAGGAGCCACACTGGCTGCCATCTGGCAGGAATTTCACTTTTAGCTTTAAAATTTCCATGGATGAACAGTGTAAAGCTAGGTATTAACTTACAATTGCGAGACGCATTTTCAAAAGTGAAAGAATATCCAA